GCTAAGTGCAAAAACCTGTCGGGGCCCGTAAACGTGGGAGTGACCCAGACGGGGGTCGGTCACTTCTTCAGGGGCTGGTACACGGAGGCGTTGGGGTCCAGGGAGGAGGGGCTGCTGTCCATGAACTTGGAGGAGTAGTGGGGGGCCACGGGGCTCAGGCTGCCCCCGTCGGAGGCGTAGGACAGGCTGGGCATCACCGCCATCACCTCCGCGATCTTCTGCTTCAGCTCGGCGATCTCCTGCTCCCGCTGGTGGATCTGCCCTGAAGCACACGCAGAAGAGCTGGTCAGGAAGCTCTAATAACACTAAAACCTTTGTGTTCTTACAATGTGGGGTTTTATGGTCACTTTGTTTTCTATTGTAGTGACTTCCAACTGTCAAAGGTGCTTTATAAGTAAAGTTTAGAACAGAAAACAGAATAGATTTTTTTTTAAACGTTCCACTGTATAACTGCTGCATTTAAAAAAAAAAAACGTATTTAAGTTTCAATTGAAAAGGGAAATAGAAAAAAGGAAGCTTTTTCCTCCTGGTTTGGGTTATAACTCAACCTCATTACACTAAAACTTTTATGTTTTTACAATAATCCATTTGTTTTATTAGTGATGTTTCTGGTAACTTTGTTTTCTATTGTAGTGACTTTCAATTGTCAAAGGTGCTTTATAAATAAAGTTTACTGACAGAAAACAGAATAGATTTTTTTTAAACATTCCTCTGTATAATTGCATTGTTTTTTCTTTTCTTATTTAAGTTTCAATTGAAAAGGGAAATAGAAAAAAGCTTTTTCCTCCTGGTTCTTGTCTGGAATATGGGACTCAAGAACTGAACCATCTTTGAATATGTGAGATGAGAAGGTTGGATCCAAAGTAACACTTTTTAACAAACTAAAACTTTTATGTTTTTACAGTCATCCATTTGTTTTTACAATGTGGGGTTTTATGGTAACTTTGTTTTCTATTGTAGTGACTTCCAACTGTCAAATGTGCTTTATAAATAAAGTTTACTGACAGAGAACAGAATAGATTTTTTTTAAAACGTCCCTCTGTATAATTGCTGCATTTTCTTTTTTTTTTTTACTTATTTAAGTCTAAATTGAAAAGCTAACTTTTATGTTTATACAGTCATCGATTAGTTTTAATAGTGAGGTTTCTGGTAACTTTGTTTTCTATTGTAGTGACTTTCACCTGTCAAAGGTGCTTTATAAATAAAGTTTACTCACACAACAGAATAGATTTTTTTTAAACGTCCCTCTGTAAACTTCTGCATTACTTATTTAAGTTTCAATTGAAAATCTAAATTAAAAAAGGAAGCTTTTTCCTCCCGGTTCTTGTCTGGAATATGTGACTTAAGAACTGAACCATCCATAAATATGTGAGATGAGAAGGTTGGATCCAAAGTAAAAGTAAACTCCCAAAAAAGTTGCGATGTGCAAAATATAAACGACTTAACCTCATAACACTTAAACTTTTATGTTTATACAGTCATCCTTTTTTTTTATTAGTGATGTTTCTGGTAACTTTGTTTTCTATTGTAGTGACTCTCACCTGTCAAAGGTGCTTTATAAATAAAGTTTACTCACACAACAGAATAGATTTTTTTTAAACAGTCCACTGTATAACTGCTGCATTGTTTTTGTACTTATTCAAGTTTAAATTGAAAAGCTAACTTTTATGTTTATGGTCATCGATTTGTTTTATTAGTGAGGTTTCTGGTAACTTTGTTTTCTATTGTAGTGACTTTCACCAGTTAAAGGTGCTTTATAAATAAAGTTTACTGACAGAAAACAGAATAGATTTTTACAAAGTGAAACATCCCTCTGTATAACTGCTGCATTGTTTTTTAAAAAACTTCTTTAAGTTTCAATTGAAAAGGGAAATAGAAAAAAGGAAGCTTTTTCCACCTGGTTCGGGTTTTTTTGGGGGGGGATCCTCCAGCTCTAGTTTAGAAGAGATATATCTGAGCAATCTGCTGTTTTCAAACAGGAAACAGATTTTCTTTGTGTTTGTTTCCTTCATTCTGTGTGAATTGGAACCATTTTCCATTTAATAGATTCTAATTGGGTTGAAATAATGATGTCTTTAAGTGAACTGAGATGGTTTTTGTCGAGATTTGCCGTCATATTAAGTGTATTAAACAAAAAATGAGTTGAGTGTTGATCTCTCTGGAATCTGTGGAGCT